AGAGCAAGGGCATGGTGAGAGAGGTCTCAGAGCAGGAGTTCTGCAGGGCTGCAGCTCAATGACGTAGGTCACTAGAGAGAGACAGAGGCTGGCTTCTGGGGGGCAGGGAAGGAGGCATGGAGGGGTTGGCTTCAGGACCATCCTGGAGGATTGTGGCTAGGGGTTCTCCAGACAAGAAGACCAGGGGTCTTCATCTTTCTAGGCTTTACACAGCCCACATCTTGGACAGTACCTGGCAACTCTATGCTTGGCCTGGTTCCAACTCCCCCTCCTACAAGTGGGTGGCCTCACAGCACAGCATAAGGGTCATAGCACCTGATTCCTTTGTTTGAGAAAGAGGGAAGCCAGGGTGGGAAAGATCAGGAGAGAATGGTGGGAAGCCTGCCATGCACTGCTGAAGTCTGGCCTCTGATCAAGGTGGGGCAGGAAGAGAATGCTATTCCATCCACGTGAAAGCAGAGCTGCCTCTCGGGTTGCTGGTGATTACAGTCACAGGGAGGACCAGCAGGATTGGCCACATTAAGTTGCCTGTACCACGGACATGGCGGAGCCAAGGCCTGAGGAGGGAAAGGGAGGGGGGGAAATTGAGGTGTGGGACTTCCTCAGTGAGGACAACACTCTCGCTCTGGGTCACAAGGCATTTGAGTGCTTGGGCCCATGCCTGGCTCATTGCTAGCACTCAGTACATTCGGCTCACTCTTCTCTTGTTTGTGACCCATCACATGTTGTTGCCTGGTCAAGACCCTGGGATCTGTTGCAATCTCCTAATCTCTGTCAGGCAATGTTGGAAGAGCCCTAGGGAGGAGGGGTTCAGGCCTGTAAAAGAAAGGTCATGTGTTATGTTTTGGATATGAAATGGCCCCCAGAGGCTCCTGTGTTTAAGGCTGGGTTACGAGTTGATGGGTTTTTGGGAAGTGAGGGCTCATGAGTGCTTTCCCTTCCATGGATTAATCCGTTGATGGATTTGTAATGTGATAGCTACTGGGAGGTGGGGATAGTTAGGAGGCAGGGCCTGGTTGGAGGAAGTAGGTCACGAGGGTTGTGCCTTTGAAGGGTATCTTATCCCTGACCCCTTCCTGTCTGTGTCCCTCTGCTTCCTATCCACTGCTTCTCTCTGTCACCTGCCCACTACCACCATAGTCTGCCTCACCCTGACCCAAAGCAATAGAGCCGGACTGAAACTCCTGAGCTCCTGAGGCAAAACCAATCCTCCTCTAAATTGTTCTCTCAGGTTATTTGTCACCTGCTGTCTGAGCTATACAGAGACAGGACAAGCTGCCTGGGTGGACTGAACTCTGTATCACCAGGACTAGAGGGATAGCTCAAACGTAAAGCACCTGCTTTGCAAGCATGAAGTGCTGTGTTCAAACTTCAGTCCCACCAGAAACAGCAACAACAAAACAACTCAGAGGTATTCGAGTAAGGGGAGATACCCCACCTTGTGTGTAAGGAGAAGGGATTTAGCATTGAACACTGGCTACCAGGTGGCCACAGAAATTCAGGTCCTGACCACGTGGCTCTGGCCAGGAGAGACAGGGTTCTGCTTGACAGCTAGGGCCTTGAGTCCTGGCCTGTGGTGTCTGTGCACACTTGATGGTCTCCATTGATCCAGCTACTGACACAGTGGTTCTTAGCTTCTGGGGCTTACTGACTCACTCAGCAAACACTCACTGTGTGCCAGGCACATGCCAAGGCTGGGATAGATGGCATCCTGCCACTGCAGAGGAGGAAACTGACCCTTGGGGAAGCAAAGTCTCAAACACAGAGGGTCACGCCTAGCCATAGGTGCTGTGATTCGAGCTGAGTGAGTGATGGGAGTGTTGCTGGGGCTGATTGGTGTCCTGTGCTGTCTTCTGCTGTACACATTGCACGCTTCATGTAGTCAGTAGCCTAAAGGTTTACCTTTTGTTTATGGAGCTTTGCTTCCAAAGAAGCCTGTCTTTACCCTAAAATTATTTCTTAGGTTTTCTTCTAACACCCCGTTTGTAGATTTAGAATTTATTTTTACATATTTTGTAAGGCAGGTCCCAACACCATATATTGAATCCTTTCTGTATTGGCTAGCTTTCCAAGGATGTGATAAGATGTTTGATATATATTTTGGCTCACAGTTTCAGAATTTCCCTGACCCCACAGAGTGCCACAGTTTGGCAACCAAACCTTTAACAAATGGGGTCTTTGGGGGACATTTAAGATCCAAATCTTAACGCTGACTGCCCCTTTATCTCAGGGTCATTTCCACATACACAGGCCTGCTTCCGAACACCATTCTGGCCCATTGGTCTCCCTGTCCCTTCAGTTCCAGGCTCAGAACTTTAAAGTGTGTTTTGCTAGTACCCTGGCCACACTGCTAGGGATACTAGTAGTTTCCTTTGTTCTTCTTTTCTAGAAAGTTTCTCAGATATCCTTCAGCATTTCTTTCTTTACATGAATTTTAGAATCATCTCCAAATCCTGTTACAAATTATGATGGGACTTTGATCATGATTGCATGGAAGTTGCACATTAAGTGGAGGAAAGTTCACCTCAGTCTCTTACCCAGACACATGGCGTGTATTTTGAATAAAGTATGTATACTCAGAGAATTAATTTTTTCTTCATGTGGATTAAGTGTGCATACTGTTGATTTATTTCTCTTTCAAATGGGATTTCTTTCCTACTAATTTCCCTTCTTATCATTGCTAGTATATTGGCGAGTCATCATTTGAGTACACTTACTTTTGCTTTTAGTCATCGTATTAGAATAACAGTTGTTGAGTGTTAACTTTAATAGTTTGTCAGTTTTATTTCATTTAGAAAGATGAAGCCATAATGTCTGCAAGTAACAGCTGCTGTTTCTTCTTCCTGTTATTTCCTTTGGCCCATTTTTCTTGTTTTATGGCTTTGGCTCATGTCTCTAGGACAGTGCTAAACAGTAGTGTGGACAGTAGCATTGTCAGTGGGTATTTTTTCAGGCTTCATTGAGGGCTGTGTCTGATGTTTCCTCATTGAGTGTAAAGTTTGCTGCTTGTTTCTGTTTATCAAGAACTCTTTACTCCTGGGGCCTCAGAGCAAAGCAGGGACAGGTTTTTGAAACTTATTTCCTCTTTTGTCCAAAAGAGAATTTGGAATGTAGGAAATCTCTAAGCAGATGATCCTTAGCAGGCTCTTGCTCTCACTAGAATGGTACAGGCTTCGTGCACCCCTTGGGGTGTGTTCCTCAGTCCTGCCAGGTTATAGGAGTTACTCGGGATGCTTAGAGGTCCTTGGCTTCACACCTGTGCAGACATTCAGTCCCCATGTTGAGGAGGATATTGAATCTTTAGGAGGAGAAATGAGCATCAGCTGGTGGTGCTGAGATGTGGACCTTGAGGCTCTGAGGTTCTTCCTCCCCCTGCTGCCCCTCAGGATGTATGTCTCAGGCGTTCTATGCAGGATTGACTTAGGAACCCTGTTTCTGTTCAGACCTTGGCAGCAAAGACTTGGGGAATTATACTCTTCATTTCCTGGTGAGGCTCTTATCCTCTCTGCAAAGCTTTCTCTTGTTTTATTTATGTATTTATTCCCTTTCATCCCTCTCCATTCCCATCCACCATTGCCACCCCATAGGTGACAAGTCTAGTCTGCTTTTTTTTCTCTCTCTGTTCTCTTTTCTCTTCTCTCCCAGAATTTATTTTTGGTTTTTTTGTTGTTCTTTTTTTTTGCAGTGCCAGGATTGAAACCAGGGCCACCTTCTGCATGTTAAGGAAATGCTGAGCCTCACCCCCAGCCCTGTGTGCAGTGTCCCTAGTTTGTACAATGGATGTCACCTGGTTTCTTCCTTTTTTCCCTGCATGTTGTTGTGTGTCTGTGTGTCCAGCTCCACATTGCTGTGGTCCAACTTCACCTGCTGTTTGTACATCTAGTCTCCTGTTTCTGACAGCTTGCAGAGTCCTCTATGTGGGATGCCTGCAAATTTTACTTACCCATGTCCGCTGGGATGGATACCAGCCCCATCCACAGCTTACCTGACTTAGGCTCCTTGTGCTGGTGGTGGTACAGAGCTGGGCAAGGAGCTTTGCTACCAGTGACACCAGGGGCAGAACTTGGGCCGAGGTGAACATATAACCAAAGCCATGTCACCACTTCTACTTCCCTTGGTCCTCGCCATTGTGTGGCATTTATCACTCACAACTTTTCCAGTTTTATAGCTGTTTAACATTGGGCTTAGGTTTTTTTGGTAATTTCCAGGAGTTTAGTGTGTTCTGCAGATGGCAGTCCCTTGTACATTTTAGAAATTTCAGAACTGTCTCTTAATCCATCCGTAGTCTATCACCATCTGTTATACGGAAAGCATGAATAGCGAGTAGTCAAATCCCTCAATTTGAGGGCTCCGTGCGTGTGGTGCGGGATATGAACCCAGGCCTCACATACCAGGCAAGTGCTCTACCACTGAGCCACAGCCCAGAAATTTGTGTTATGCAGTTCTCTGCACATGATTCCTCTGTCCTCCCCAACTACAGTGTTTACTGTTAAATGTTCCTCCATTCACTTGTGTAGTGAGTTGTACACGTCTGTTGCTGCTGCTGTTTTCTTGCCTCCTGTCCTGTCCTGGTGGCTTAGATCAGGTTCTTTGGATGCAAAGCCTGGATCAGGATATCTTGCACATGTGTTGATTCACTTGGGGAGACCTCTGGGGAGAAACTGTCCAGGGAGTGGGACGGAGCCAGACAAGGCTATGGTCAGCTGCAGGGGACTGTGGCATGTGAGTGGCCCGCAGTTGTGCCCTTGTCAGTCATTGGCTGCTCTCCTCCCTGACCACGCCCTAGGGAGGACTGAGATTCCGAGCCTCCTAGGCAATTCCCTGAAGCTGGCTGCAGCTGTGAGCGGTTAGCAGCATGTGCACAGCATCAGAGTAGGAATTTATCTGTTTGGTACCAGGCCTCTGAACAGCCCCTGGCAGCATACCTGGTGGCCCCAGATACCTGGGAGCCATGCTTCTCACCAACAGTCTTAATTCTAACCTCACATTGCCACCCGTAGGCTCCACCAAGGACCTGATCGAGACATGCTGTGCAGCTGGACAGCAGTGGGCCATTGACAATGACGAATGCCTGGAGATTCCTGAGAGTGGGGCTGAGGGTGACATCTGCAGGTGAGGGAGCCCTGGGGCAGGCACAGCTGCCCCCATCTTCCCCAGATCCTGCTCTCCCCAGAGTTCAGGCTCCAGCAGCACCAGGTGCACAGGCACAGGGGTGACTGAAGGTGGCTGTCATGAGCCACCTGGCCAGGCTTTGTGCAAACACGAGGCGCACTGGCTGGTCCCGAGAATAGAGTAATCACGTGAATTGTAGCTGGCGTAGAGAGCATAATCTGCTGGGCACAACTTGGAGCAAGTTGTGAAGGCCTGTTATCACCTTGGGATGGCTGAGGCCTCCCCACACACTGTGGCCACTGCTGAGCAGCACTCCACCCCACCTGTTTGCTCCTCATCCCACCTTCCTTCCTGACTCAGTGGCCCTGACTGCTCTCAGTCAAGAGTCATTTATTCTCATGGTTCTCTCTGCCAGGCCAGAAGAGACCTTGGTCGGCCTTTTGTCCACCTTTCCTCCAGAGACAACATCTTTTCCAGTCTACTCCTCTTTCCAAAGAAGAAGCAGTTCAGAGAGGCAGTGTGATTTTCCCAAAGCTGCACAGCTTATTGGCAGTGTGGCCAGGACTAGACCCCATGTGTTCTGATGTCTAGCCCACGTTGCCTTCTTCAGAGAAATTTAAACTCTCACCTTGTAACTTCCCTTTCCTTTTCGTTCTTACCACCCCACAAGTGGGGTCGTGTGCCATTCAGAGTTCTGGGGTTCTGGGCTTAATGGCCCTAGTGCACACATGTGTCCCTCTTGCAATGGGGACTCACCCCTGCATGGACAGCTGCTTCCACTGATGTACAGCTGTCCCCAGGACATACCCCTCCCCATGTGGTGCTGAGTCCTGCCTGCCTGTGACACCTGCCTGGCTATCCTGGCTCATTAGCTATCCCTGTCCCACAGGCAGCCCTGCAGTAAGGGGCAGGCTGTGACCAAGGACCTGGAGGTCCTTCTATCCTGGCAGACCCACCCCCTGTTTCTGGGATTGGGTCTCCCTATCCTTTCAGGCCTGGCATTGAACCTTTAAATGCCCAGCCCTTCCCTCAGAGGTCAGGAACACATAGCAGTGAGACCCGGGCCTGAACTTCTTGGTTAGGCAAGAAGCAAACCATGTGGTGTGTGTGTGTGGAGGGGGGGTGGGGCTTGAGCCTGCTGTGCCACGGTGCTGGCCCTACTTGCCGTGGACCTTAGGTGGGGCTTCCCTTCTCTGAGCCTACCTCTGTGAGGTGGGGACCATCATCCTCCTGGAGAGGGCCCCCGGGGGACCAGGTGGGCCCTAGACACTGATGCATGCTAGGCTCTCTGTTGCAGGACGGCCCAGAGGCACTGCTGTGTCTCCTACCTGAAGGAGAAGAGCTGCATGGCTGGCGTCATGGGGGCCAAGGAGGGTGAAGCCTGTGGGACTGAAGACAGTGACACCTGCGGCGTCTCCCTGTACAAGGCAAGCCCCATCGGTGGCATTGGTGGGTGGGATGTGAGAGGGGACTGGCCTGGGCCTGAAGGTCCTCGAGGGCTGAGGGTTAGCTCCCCGTGGGGCCTCTCTCCCCTGGCGGGTGACACATGGAGAAGCTCATCCTCTGCATAAAAAGCATCAGCAGTTATTATTGGCTAGTTAGTCTATAAAGTGCTTATTGAACCGCAGTGTGTGCTGGGCACTGTTCCAGTGCCAGGCATTAGGAACACAGCAGTGAACAACCGGTGATGGTCCCTGCCCTTCTGGCACTTTCTGTTCAGGGAAATGGGTCAGGGTGCTTGTGTTGGTGTATGGTGCACTAGAAGTTGGGGATGCTAAAGAGATTTATGAAGGAGGTCAGTGTGTGTGAGCTCATGCTCACCTCAGTTTGGCTGAAAGCAGCAGAAATCTCCAGAACACTGACCTATCTCTCCTACACTGGAGGAGCAAATAGCTCCATGGTCACCTGGATAGGGCCACAGGCTCCTGCTGACCTGATGCTTTGCCAGTGTCAGTTTGCTGCCTTGTGGGTCCAAATGCCCATGCAAGTTCCATGTAGGAGCAGGAGGAAGGGGAGAAGAGCCTGGTGTTAGGGAGAGGACCTTGTTGACAGGCAAATTTAGAATCCCATTTCTGGATTACATTTAACCCCAGACCAGTTCTCTTGTCTCAGCCTCAGCTTCTCCATCCTGCAGGGTGAGTGTGAGGGCCAGAGATGGCACCAGTGAGCATGTGGTCAGACTCCCAGGTCTTCTGTGTGGGCTGCTCAGCATCAGAGGTGCAAGCTGGGACAGCAACTGCAATTGCTGCTAACAACACCCAGAATTGCGTGGCTTATGACTGGCCCAGTACCTGAGTCTGGTCAGCTCATTGCCTCTGCTGGCCAGGACCATGTTCTATGGCTAGTGGCTTCACTGGGTCCAGATGACCGAAGCTGGCTGCAGCTGAGCTAGCTAGTCTCTCATGCACAGCAGGCTTGTTCAGGGGGTTCTAAGAAAGGGAATAAAAGCATGTGTGTTAGTTAGCTTTTGTTACTGTGACAATACACCTGAGATAATCAGCATAGAAGGGTTGTGAGGCAAGCATACTGTTTGCCTCACAGTTTCAGAGGTTTCAGTCCATGGTCGCTTGAGGCCTTTGGGTCTGTGGTGAGGCAGCACTTCATGGCAGGGAATGCATGGTGGAGCAAGCTGCTTACGTCTTGGTAGCCAGGAAACAAAAGAGAGGGAGAGAGAGAAATCTGTGTCCCATATTCCCCTTTGAGGGCATGGCCTCAGTGACCTGAGACCACCACCAGGTCCCTCCTCTTAAAGGTTCACCAGATAGTGTCACAGGGGACCAAGCTTTTAACATATGGGCCATAGGGGGACATTCCAGATCCAAGGCATGCAAGGCCATTTGAGACTTAGGTCCCAAACCAGCACAGTCACTTCTGTCTCATCCTAGTGCCCAAAGCAAGTCATGGGCACAACTAAGTGGTTAGGAAATGTACTTGCTTTCTTAGTAAGAGGAGCTGAAAGACAGTGGACCTGAGGAAACATGGGCAATTGCAGTATTATTTCAGCTAATCTACCACCATAGTTTAAAAAGTTAAAGCAAACTTCTTTTTGGAGGTATGCAGGCTGAGATGGGGTAAAGCTATAAGCACCCTCAGGGCCCAGCCTTTGAGTGTTCTGTTTAGCCATCCTTAGGTTAGAGGTTTGTCTTCAGATCACTTCATACCCCATATCCTGCAAAGGCTCCACACACACGAATGTGCAGAAAGAAGAGCAGAAATGATGCACGTCCAAGTAGAGTCAGTGCCAGTTAAGAGCTTCCTTGGAAGGGCTCCTGGGAAATGCTGACTTTCAGCTGGCCTGAATTGTGGTCTTCTGGTAAACGTGAGGCGGAGGGGCTTGGCTGAGGGTGAATTCATAGTCTTCTTCCATGAAAGGCCATTTCTCTATGAAAATTAACATTAGCCCTGTCCTTGCTAGACCTTAGACATGGAGGTGGACCCCCCTTTGCCCTGGGAGAGTACATAGGTAGGCAGAGGAGACCATATAACATTAAATCACCCCCATTGCTGGGCACAGTGGCTCCCAGCTACTCAGGAGGTAGAGATAGGGAGGATTGAGATTCAAGGCCAGCCTGGGAAAAAGTTAGCAAGACTCCCCCATCTCAACCAACATCTCAACTAACATTTCAGCCAACAAGTTGATCCCAATTACTCAGAAGGGATAGGTAGGAGGAGCAAAGTCCAGACCAGCAAGGACAAAAATATGAGACTCTCCCTGAAAAATAACTAAAGCAAAAAGGGCTGAGGGTGTTGCTCAGGTGGTAGAGCGCCTGTGTAGCAAGTGGGAGGCCCTGAGTTTAAGCCCCAGTACCACCCCCCAAAAGAAATCACCTCCATCCACTAGCCCATCTCCTGAGTGTGGCCCCAGGCCATGCCCTGGGGACCTTGGGTGAGTTCCGGGCACATAGGCCATGGGAAGACAGGCGGGCTTTAAGGGCCAGTCCCAGCAGTGATGGCTTTGTCTCCCTCTTTCCAGCAATGCTGTGACTGCTGTGGCCTGGGACTCCGCGTGCGGGCTGAGGGCCAGTCGTGCGAGTCCAACCCCAATCTAGGTTACCCCTGCAACCATGTCATGCTCTCTTGCTGTGAGGGCGAAGATCCCCTCATTGTGCCTGAGGCCCGCCGGCCTCCAGAGCCTGAGGCTGCCCCACGGAGAGGTGGGTGCTCCCCCTCCCAGGCTGGCTGGGCATCAGGGACAGCTGGGTGAGTTGAGGGGAATGGTTGGGGCTCCTAGCCAAGGCCATGTGCCTTCGGGACTCTGTGAAGACCCTGCGTCCATCTTGATCAGTGGTTTGTGGTACAAACTTTGTCTGCACAGAGTTCTGTGGCCACTGACTATGCACTCTGCCATGTTAATTCTGAGATGGTGACTGAATTCAGATCTCTATACACAATCTACTCCCACACACCTACCAGCTACCACATGGTACCCTTCCACTGTCCACTCACCATCTCCCAACAACTTGTCCACCACATCCTTCCATCTTCTTCCCACCCACTCACCAATCCATTCTACGTCTCCCTCCCTCCACCTACTTACCCCATTTATCCCTCCCTCCTTTTGTCCCCTCCCTTCTTCCATCCATCTTTACCTTCCTTCCTTCCTCCCTCCATCCATCCATTCCTCCACCCACCCATCCCTCCATCTTTCCATCCATTTAACCTATGCTTTTGCCTATCTCTCCACCCATTCATCTTTCCACTTCCTTATCTTTCCCCCTGATCTGTCCATGCATCCACCCACCCATTTACACATTCATCCATTTACCCATTCACCTACCCACCCATTCATCCAAGGGGCTGGTTGAGCACTGATGTGAACACCAAGTTATTGCCCAAAAGAGGCTGATTCAAGGTGGAGTCAGGAGGAAATCCAGCTTCAGGGGTCAGAAGGTGGGTGGGCTGGAGGGGAGCAAGTAGACAACATGACAGGGTCCAGAGCTAGGGATACTGTATTCCCTCCTCCTGTTGGGAACTTCTGGGTAACCTAGGCCTTAGAGATGCAGGCACTGGGTGCGGGCTAACCTGGCTTCAAGTCCTGTTCAAATGCCCTTTGGTAAATCACTTTGCTTCACACAGCCTCAGTTTTCCTTCTGTAGAGAGAAATGGTTGTGAGGAATATGCTCACAAGGGTGAGCTGAGCTTGAATTCTAGTCCTGGTGTGCTCAGGGAGTCCTGGGTTCACATCTGCTGCTACTCACCTGTAGTGCCAGGTCTCCAGAGCAGAACAGCCAGTGCCAAGCCAGGGCTCATTGGGATGGGGCTTAATGTAAACATACGCCATATGAAACACATTCCTCAGGCCTGACTTCATTCAGCCCTCCTCTCAGGGACTCAACTGCCTATGGCTGCTAGGGAAGGCTGAGGCCTGAACAGAGCTTCCTACAGCCACTACAAAAGGACCCTCCCATAGCAGCACAGCCCCCAAAAGCCTTTTCTCTTGCTTACCTCCTGCCTCTGTAGCCCCAGGAGGCAAGTTGGTTCCAGACCTGGAGCTACAGAGACTTTGTGCTGCCCCAGATGATATAGGTGAGGAAGGCCTGAGTCAGAGTTCAGATTCTGATCTGATGGAACCCAGGACAATGCCCTTTCTATTGTAAGGCATCCTCCCTGATATCACTGAGGTCAGGACTCTGAATTAAGTACTTTAGCAAGAGCTTTATTGTGGGTTTGGTCCTGTCCTCTTGCAGGGGACTCAGGCAATGAAGATTTGGAACCAGCTCATGGGTTGACTCTTATTATTGGAAGTCTGTTCATTCATTCTTCCATCTACCCATTTATCCATCCATTTACTCATCTGTCCATCCACCCACCCATCTACCCACCCATCCATCCACTCTTACCTATCCACCCATCCATCGGCCTACCCATCCCTCCACTCTACCCATCCATCCACTCAATCCTTCTATCCACCCATCCATTCTTCCATCTGTTTGCCTACCCACCTGCTCATCCATCCACCCACCCATCTACCCACCCATCCATCCTCTCCACTTATCCACCCACCATCTATCCACCCATCCATCCACTCCACCCATCCATCTACCTACCCATCCATCCATTCCACCCATCCATCTACTCTATCCATCTATCCACCCATCCATCCACTCACCTGTCCATCTACTCCATCCATCTGTCCACCCATCCATTCTTCCATTTATTGCCTACTCACCTGCCCATCCATCCACCCACCCACCCACCCATCCATCCACCCACCCACCCATCCATCCACCCACCCACCCATCCATCTACTCACCTATCCACCCATCCATCCACTCCACCCATCTACCCACCCACCAACCCATCCTCTCCACCTATCCACCCATCCATCCACTGTACCCATCCATCTATCCACCCATCCATCCATTCCACCCGTCCATCCACTCCATCCATCTGTCCACCCATCCATCTACCCACCCATCCATCCACTCCACCCATCCATCTACCCATCCATCTACCCACCCACCCATCCATCCACTCACCTATCCACCACTCACCTATCCATCTACCCACTCACCCATTTACTCATCCATCCATCCATCCATCTATTTCCTCACTGACTGCTCTACCACCTGTTTTGGCCAACCTGGCTCCATCCTGAATGCTGATCTCCCACCCCAGTTTCAGAGGCAGAGATGGCAAGCCGGGAGGCTCTGTCTCTAGGCACGGAGACTGAGCTGCCCAACAGCCTGCCAGGTGACGATCAGGATGAGTGCCTGCTGCTCCCTGGGGAGCTGTGCCAGCACCTGTGCATCAACACTGTGGGCTCCTACCACTGTGCCTGCTTTCCTGGCTTCTCACTGCAGGACGATGGCCGCACCTGTCGCCCAGGTGAGCTGTGGAACAGGGCAGGGGCTGATCCTACCCATGGAGGGTTGGCCTTCCTGGGATGAGAACCACCCCTGCCACCTCCTGCCATCCTAAGCATTGGTACCAGCAGGAGCCAGAGGCTGCCAGCCATGGGAATTCCAAAGGCTTCTGTTCTGCAGCTCCCCCTGCAGGGCTGACCACAGACTCTGCCCTAGATTTGACTACATCTGCAGACTCAGGCTGCAGGGGCTGTCACCAGACCCCAGCTGTGTTCCCAGTGCTGGGCTGGTGCAGAAGAACTTTCTTACTGCCAGCTGTCAAGGGTGGAGTCATTTTTGGTCTACACACCTCCCCCTCCTCCTCCTTTCTTCTCCTTTTCCTTCTTTCCCTCCACCCCTCTCTGTCCAGTGTAGCTGTGAGATGGTTCTTACCTAAAGTACATGTGCACCCTGAGCCTCAGTTTCCTCACCTGTGAAACGGGGTGTGAGCAGTGAGACCATCAATCAGTACCTGGTGTGGTGCCCAGGCATAAGAAGGGATGGTATCTGTGAGTGCCCAAGGCCTCCCCTTACTGTCTACTCTGCCCATGACAGATGGTAACCCCCCGCAGCCGGGCGCCGCACGGGAGCCTGCACTAAAACCTGAGCCTGCCCAAGCATCCCCCAACACCATCCCGCTGCCTGTGCCACAACCCAACACCTGCAAAGGTGAGCAGAGGGGTGGTGTCCCCTGCAGGGCCCTGAGACTGCAGGACTCAGGGCCTCCCAGTACTTCTGCTTCCCTGGGCCTCTGGCATTGCCCCCGACTCATAACTCAAAGCTGGGGTTGAGCCATAGGCCATGGCCACCGTTTGCTCTCTGATTTTGTGTGGTTTCCTCTAGACAACGGACCCTGCAGGCAGGTGTGCAGCGACATTGGAGGCTCGGCCATGTGCTCCTGCTTTCCGGGCTATGCCATTATGGCAGATGGCGTGTCCTGTGAAGGTGAGTACTTTAGGGTTGCCCTCCTACCTGCATAAGCCTGGGTGGCCTGCGGTGGGGGCTCCAGAGTGGGTGTAGCTAAGACCTCAAACCTGACGTGTTTGTGAGATTTGGCTCCTGTGACAAAGACCCCAGTAGAGCAGCTTCCATGACTCCCTCTGGTGGCATCAAGCCATGTGTTTGACACTCTGATGGACTCACCATGCAGCTGCAAAGATACAGGGGCCCAGGGGCTCCTTCTTTCTGGTTGTTCTGCTGTGTTCTAGAACAGGGCTTCTCAAACGTGAGCATGCATCCAGCTCACCTGGAAACCTGGTAATGTAGCGATTCTTGAGAATTCCACAGACGCCCAGAGATCCTGACTAGTAGGTCTGGGCTGAACCTGAGAATTTGTATTTTTAACTTGGACCCTGTCCTGCTCCATGGACTGTACTCAAACTTGTCCTCTCTCTAAGGGTTGCCCCTGTCTGCATGGCCAGGGTTGCTTTGTGACCACTGTGTCCACCTGTGATCCAGTCCTGGATGTAGAAAGAGAAGGAGGGGAGTGATGTCTGATTATGTTAAGGCAGCACACAAGTGGCTTCATCCCTCGCACTTGCCTCCCATGGGAAGCGGTGTCTGGGAACAACAATCACGTCTGTCCAGAAAAATACCCATACTGCTCCCAGAAGCTCAAATCCTACATCTGGCCCTTCTAATGGGACTGGGATCTGATGTGGGCAAAGACCGCCCTATGAGCCCAAAGAGGGCTGCAGACCTGCACAAGGCACACAGCATAGGGGTGACTGGCAGGACTTTCTGTCCGATGGAGGGTGCAGGTCAGGTCCAGGTGATGCTGTGTTTCCTGGGGCTCTGCCTACTGCCCCTCAGGACCAGGGGAACATGAGCAAGGCATTGCTCCTGGGTACCGACCCCTTTGGACACAGTCTCTGTGAGGGACCTGGGACCAACGGCCCAGAATACCATACCTCTTGTGGCCATGGGGCCTGGGCTGTGTTACCCTCTCTTCAGTCCACCCTCCCTCCTCAGGAGGCCCTGCAGGAAAGCTATGGGGTCTGGGCCAGAGGTTGCACACAGCCATTCTGAGAGTGCATACAGCCTGCCCTGTGGAGGACTCCTGCTCTGTTCTGTGTATTTAGAATAAAATGAATAACCAACCATGACAAGCTCAAGAACTTTTAGAACATTTCCAGATTTTGGGTTGAAACTTCATAAAATCTGCTCACAGCCCTGGTGTCCTTTGGGCAGCCACAGCCTCACAGTGCCTGTGGAGCGCCTCACCTGCGCCCCCTGCTGTTTATGTGGGGCCTGGCCCCTCGGCACTTCAGTTTGCATCTCCTTCTGTTGTGTGGCTCCCTTGGCTGCTGTGGATGTGGGGCGTGTATAGGTTGTGGGTGGGAGGCAGTGCCTAGTTCTGCTCCCTGCGGGACCATGGGCTGGATGCCTGCCTTCTCTGAGTCTCCCCTCCATCTGTCCTCACTGGAGCAGTGGGCCCAGCTCTGACATCTTTGGGTTCTACAAACTCAGACTTGGAGTCAAGACCCAGATTGCACAGAATGAGAGGACCTGAGCAAGTAGGTCCCTTCCCTTCTGTCACTAAATGCACCTAGCAGGTCACGCCTCTCTAACTTCCCTTCTGTTTTTCCTTCTGTGACTGCCACTAGACCAAGACGAGTGCCTGATGGGCACTCATGATTGTAGCCGGCGACAGTTCTGTGTGAACACCCTGGGATCCTTCTACTGTGTCAACCACACAGTGCTCTGTGCAGAGGGCTTTATTCTCAACGCACACAGGAAGTGCGTGGGTAAGCGAGAGCCCCCCACCTGCCGCCCAAGTCACGGCTCTCTGTTCTGCTCCACGCCAAGCCCGCCACATGGCGCCACATGCTAAAGGGCCTGTCCTTTGCATGTGAGCTCTTCACAGCGCCCCCATGCTCCATGTAACACCCTTGTGTCTTGGTGTCTTGTCCTGCTTGTCCTCTGGGAGGCTGCTTGCCCCAGGGACATACTTGCGAGTCAGAAAACTAATAGGATGTGCTCCCTGGCTGGTCAGTCATGAGGAGGTCAGATGTGAGCAGCAGGACAGCGTGCAGGGATCTGGAGGAAGGGAGGCCTGGGCTAGAAGCTAGACGCCCCGTGGCTCTATGCAGTGGGCAACTGGCCTGTCTTCTCCCAGCTTCTGTTTCCTCAGCTGCTAGGAGATTGCAGGGTGTGTACTGTAGAGCGCAGACCTGGCCCATGGTGAGCCTGCTACCCCAGCCACGTAGGTCCTTAGATGCATCTGGAACCTCTCGAGAGGCAGTAGACAGACACTAGGCTCAGAAGTCCTGGCTGTGTACACACCTTGGTGTTTGTTTGCTATGGGGCCCTGGGCATCAGGGTTCTCTCCTAAGCCTCTGTGAAGTCCAGAGGACCAGGTAAGGCCCTGGATCCAGTGCCTGACCGGTGCATGGCTGGAGTCAGAGCGGGTAGCGGCTCCTCCCTCCTTTCTGTGCTCATGTGAGCCAGGGTTTTGGGTTTCCAGATGCTCTGTGGGCAGAGAGGAGGGGACCCCAGTGCTCTTCCCTGTCTGGGACCCACCTGATGTTTTCACAGAGGACATATATTCAGGGATAGACCCAGAGTGGCAGGCCTTGGGCAGACTGGTAAATGCTGCGGCAGAGACACAGGCAGAGGGATTCATCATGCCGGCTTCTGGTACCTGGGTGTGTTTTCTGGAGAAATTGGGATTTCACCGTCTCCTAGGATTGACAGGACTTGGAGATGGGAAGGACACTCAGGGTGGAAGAACAGAGCTCAAATAACAGTGTGGAGGTAGGAACAATGCAGAATGCGTTCAGGGCATGTGACTAGAGCCTGTCTTCTCTGTGCTTGGGGACCATGTCCAGTCTGGACATGTCCCCTGCCTCCCCCTTCACTGCTGGACAGCTGGACCGCAGTGCTGGGCTGAGTGGCACTGCCGACATGTTTGCCCCAGGCCTCATCTGTGGGCACAACATGGCCCTCCTGATCTGCTTGCTGCAGGGGGCCCTCTTCCTTGGCGGGGCGGGTCTGTGTGTGTCTTTCGGGAAGGTGGGTCCTGCCAGATGCCTTCTCCTCTGCCATACCCCAGGGTGAAGGCTCCCTGGTAGCCTAGAGACAAGACCTTGTGCTAGGCATGGGCAACTGGAAAATGAGTTCTGGGAATAAAAAGCCATGGTACAGTCCATGAGTGCCCATCCTCAGGGTTTCCTCCCCCTTCCTTCTGCACAAGCCGAGCAGCTCCTGCTCTTCCTCCTCCTGCCCCTCTCAGTTGTGTGTGGGTTTCATCACCTGTCAGTGCTGGTTGCTCACTCTTCCCATCAGGGACAGTGTGGATACCTGCAGGGGCTCTGTACTTCCCTGTTTGCGCCACACATGTGTATCATCCAGGAGGAGAGAGGGGAGAAGCATATTAAGATGAAGAGGCAGCCATGTTACCTAGGTTCAAATCCTGACTCTGCCACTTGCTACTCATGAGCCCAGCACCAAATCAGTCATCCTTTCTGAACCTCAAGTGAATGAGATAATAGCCTGCACCTCAAAAGGAGGCTGAATGGGTCCATGGGAAGACCCGTGCTAGTGTTTTGATCTATGCGGTGACTCTACAAACACATTGCTGTGAGGTGGCTGCAGAGGTGATGAGCTCCTGTCCCTAGAGGTACGTAAGCAGAGTGAGTCAGCATTGGGTATGACCTCTGCCAGGATTCCCCTGTGCTTTTCCATTTGTCTATTGTGCCTGACACTTTGAGGACTGCCTTGGGCCCTGGAGAAAGTGCTCCAGGTGAGGGGAGCTGCACCAAGATAAGAGGGGAGAAGCCCCAGCTCTGGGTGCCCTGAAACAGAGAGTAAATGGTGGAGGAGGGGCACAGCTCAGGCCAGCACTCTGGCTTCCATTCTGACTGCTGCCACACACTGGATGCTTGACTTTAGTCCGGGACACTCCCTCTGGGAGACCCATTTTCACATCTGAAATGGGGCTGGCCATCCCTGCCTTGTAGGACAATGGACTTTGCTGTTTCTATAAATCACCTGACCCCTGGTCAGCTTTGGTTAGTGGTGGCTGCTGTCATTCGTTACTGTGATTCCTGCAGGCTGTGGGAGGCTCCTGGGACCCTGCTGTGTCTGGGGTCCTGGGCAGGCATCTGCCTGTACCAATAGGGTCTGTAAGTAAGAAGATCTGTGACTTTGTCAGGCCTGGCCACACCTCCCTTATCCTCCCCATCACCACCCAAACCTACTCTGCCTGGCCTGGGTACCTCTGAGTTCACCTGTGAGTTTGGGAGCAATTCTTACCTCCGCCCCTACCTCTCCTGGTCCCTTAGTCATTCTCTTAGAATTCAGTTCGAATGTCACCACCCCTGAGAGGCCCCTGGCATTCCAAGACCAGGGCAGCATTTCTCTGGTCTGAGCCCCATAGACAGTACATCTGTTCACCCCAGCCTCTCCACTGCGGGACTGGCCACTCCTTGAAGCCACTGTGTGGCCACAGGAGCCCAGCACAGAGCAGTTGCTAGTCAGCGTGTGCAGTTGGTGGATAAGTGGATGGATGGTGCACTCAACGAGGCAGGGACAGGGTGTTCCTCCAGGAGCCTTAGTCCTGGCTGGAAATGAGTTTTGGTTGCTGACCTCTGTTTCTCCATTCTCCCCATGCTTCTCTCTCCTTTACTGGCTTCTCCCTCACTAGCTACTATCCCAAGGGTGGATCCTCGGCCTCTTGTCTGTGTGCCCTCTCCCCCAGGTGACCTCAGCCATCTGACTACTTCCAAATTAATGTTTCTACCTGGGACCCTTCTTTGAACTCAGAGGGTCTCCGCTGCTTCCTGACCCTTAAACTCACTGGCCACAAGGGCTCCTGGACCTCCTTCCCAAGGCAGTCCTCCCCACCACCCCATCCTGGACACCTGCACATGTCCTGCTTCTCAGCCTATGGTTTTGTAGGGCTCTTGGCTCTTTCTCTCTCACCTTCATCTCTTCCATCAGTAAATCTCATTACTTCTGCCTTCACAGTATTTCCAGAATCTGATCTCTGTATATGGTGGTCCCAGCCACCACCATTTCCTGCCTGGTTATCATTTTCACCCTTAGTCTATTCTATAGCCCCAGTCAGGGCATCCTGCCAAAAATAAGCCAGTCTCCCTTCTCAATTGGGAACCCTCTGTGGCTCCCATCTTCCCTCCAAGCCTGACCTCATCTGCTTATGTTCTTCTCCCTTCTCTTCCCTACAGCCACACCTGCCTCCTGGCTGGCCCCTGAACTTGCCTGGGCACTCCCATAGCTGTCCCCTCTGCCTGGACTATCAGAGTGGCTCCTGCTGTCATCTCTTCAAATTCTCGCTCAGATGACCCTTCTGAGAATCCTCCCCTCTGCTTAAACCTGCTCGCCCTGCTGCACCTTGGCACCCTGTTCCTCCGTCCTGCTCTGGCTCCTCCACGGCCCTCACCAGCATCTTCACCGTCTGTGTGTCTGAGTGTCTGCTCTGAGGGCAGGCATTTCTGTGTGTCTTGTTCACTCCCCTCTCTTTCTTGCCAAGAACCGTTCTTGGCATGTAGCAGGGGCTTAATCTCTGTTGAATGAAGGGTTGCATGGATAAGGGGACGTCAGCCCAGTGCTTCTCTCTGGATGGTGAGTACCTGAGGGCAGGGCCTAGTGCCCCCTGCTCCCTGGTGGCCTAGGTACCTGGTTGTGTTAGGCCTCTATACCCAGAGCATCCTGCAGGCTCTGACAGCCACCTCGCTCTCCCCACAGACATCAACGAGTGTGTGACGGACATGCACACATGCAGCCGGGGTGAGCACTGCCTGAACACAGTGGGCTCCTTCCGCTGCTATAAGGCACTCACCTGCGAGCCAGGCTATGTGCTCAAGGAGGGCGAATGCACAGGTGAGAAGGAGCTGGAAGTGTGTCTGCTGTGCCTCTGGCCATGCCCAGCACTGGCCCCTTCCCACCCTGGCTGTATCTCTTTCCAACCCACCCCTCCCTAGCTCCAGTCCTGACCCTGCCCTTGGCCTGAACAGGGCGTTCCCCCTTGGAGGAGCATGCTCTGGGTTTCCTGCCCCGGGGATGGTGGTACCTGGGGCAGAAGTAGGGGAGTCTGAGGCTGGGGGTGGGAGAGGAGTGAGGGACCAGGGTCTGCCCCTGGCTTTCCTACCATCAGCTTATGTCCGAGTGCCTCTTACTTTGCTACCTGTGCCTCAGTTTCCTGTTCACACTCTGAGGTCGAGCCCCATGAAAGGATCACTTCTGTCCCTTTCACTCTAAAGTTCTAGCCTTCTAAGAAGAGGGGAGATTTTTTCAATTATTCAACAAATACTTCCCAAGCTTCCTTCGTCTGCCTGGCAGGCAGGGTTCTGGGTGCCAGAGGTACAGAGTAGTAGGGTGTCTTTCTTGATCTTGTTGTAGTGGACTCTGGGAATACACAAGCAGAGAAATGGAAGAGTGACTGTGTGCTGAGTGCTTCTTTAGATGTGTATGTGTGTGGGGAGGTGTCCAAGGAGGCCCTGGCAGAGGCAATATTGTAGTTGAGATATGAATAATGAGGAGCTACTGGGAAGGGTGTTTGTGCAGAGGTCCATGGGTAGGGGGAGGAAGGAATCATGACATATTCAAGAACCAGAAAAAAGTCAAGAGGTTAGAGCCTTTGCACTTACAATGCCACCTTCCAAAATGTGCTGATGTGACCTTATCTTAGGGATACAATCTCTTATTCCCATTTCTGTCTAACCCAGCAAGTGTGAGTCAGCAAGTGGCTTAGGAGCCAGACTGCCTGGGTTCTGATCCCAGCCCAATGCTCCCCAGCTGTGGAAGCTTGCCTATGCCTCAGTTTCCCCCTTCATAAGTTAGGGATTGCCAAAGCATTTACTTCCTAGATGGCTAGAAGGTAGGTAAAGATGTACTTCAGAGGGCTCAGAACCACAGAGATGCTCAGTGGATGTGGCTCTGTCATTATTCCCGTGAGACATGAGCCATGCTGGCAATATGGCTCTGCCAGCTTCCCAGATAACAGAATGCCTGTGTGACTGAGGAGGTCACAGTGATTGGGGTAGGGAGAGTAGGCAGGTGGGCCTGCTGCCCACCCACCATGACACCTGGCCTCTGTGTTGCAGATGTGGATGAGTGTGCCATGGGGACACACAACTGCCAGGTGGGCTTCTTGTGCCAGAACACGAAAGGCTCCTTCTACTGCCAGGCCCGGCAGCGCTGCATGGAGGGCTTCCTGCAGGACCCAGAGGGCAACTGTGTGGGTGAGCAGCCACGGGGCCTTGGTTGGGGGTGGAGGTAGGGGGTATTCTAAAGGCTTTTGAGCCCAGGAAGGCCTGGCTTGCTGCTCCTTCCTTCTTCTATCTCATGTCTCTGCCTGTACATGGTTATGACAAGTGTCCCATCTCAAGAGGCACTCGCAGAATGGTAGCTGCTCTGCTTGCCCTGATCTGTGTCCTCTTGCCTGAGGTATTTCTTCCCTGGCTTCAGTTTGTCCATCTGAATTGGACTGAAGAATGCACAGCACACGTGTTTTAGTCCAGTTGGCAGGAAGTACTGTATTTGATATCGTGGCTTGGTACACACCCCCTCAGGAATACCCAGAATACAGATCTCTCAGAACAATGCATGGCTGTGTGTGAAGCCCACAGAAACTTTCATTTTCAAAGAGCGATAGTGAGACCTAGGATTCCTTGCTATGCTCATGGGTCAAGGCCTGCTGTTTGACAGGTGCCAGGTCTCCTTGTCCCTGAGAGTCTGAGATCCCATGCTCTCCCCACCCCTCCTCCTCAGCCTCTTCTAGAAAGCCACTGGCTTAGCCCAAAAGCCAGGAGGTCTCATGTTCCCAGAGCTGCTGATCCAGTCCCCCAGGCAGGGCACTGGTGGCCCCTGGCTGGGCTCCAGGTGGAGGAGGGATAATCAGGGCCATACTCAATCTTGGGAATGAATGGTGCAAAGAGACAGGCTGGCACTTTAGGACCAGGCAAGGAATGTGTGAGGCCACAGTGCTTGAGTGCCCTTCCTTGAGATGATAGGGTTACAGAGAGGAAACTGAGTGCAGGGGCTTTGGCTGTGTGAAGGATTTCTCAAGATTTTGGGGTTCTCTTGGCTGTTTGGGGAACCAGTGTCTTCCCTGAGTCACTGCCTTCACCATGCCACAGGAGAAAGGGCAACTGCAGGGTCTTCTGGCCAAGACCAGGGTGAAATGGAAGGGGGCTTCCCAATTTCAAATAGCTCCACGGTGATTCACTTCAGCACCTGCCACGTGCCAGGTTCTCGATGCGGGAGCTATAGCAAATGACAAGAAGCTTTAACATGGAGAGGCCAAGTAAGCAACCAGATTTATACAAGTGCAGCAATTCACAGGTGCTTTAATAAATGACTAAACAAGTAGGAAATAAGTGTTAAAGGAGAGCCTGTCCACCTGGACCAGTCCAGGAGGGCCTACCTGAGGAAGTGACATTGAGGCAGAGACCTGAGTAAGTAGGCAAAGCAGCCATAAAAACTTCAGGGACAGCATGTGCCAGGGAAGGAGGGTAGCATATGCAAAGGCCCCTTGGCGGCACTGCACCTGGGCATTGTGGAATGGCAAGGAGGCCAGTGGGATTGAACCAAGTATGACAGAGGGATCTGGGCAAGGAGTGGACTGCTGCCAGGCCCCTGTGCTCTATGTAGGATGGGTAGCTTTTAGAGAAGCAAGAGCAAGGCGTAACTGACTGTCATTATACTGGACCTCAGCCTTGGTTTTCCTTCCGCCTCTAGCTGCTCCCTCAGGGCAGGTGTGAGCACTAGGTGGAATCAGCTCGATAGGTGTTTGGGTTCTGGAGTGGACCCCTTGGATACTAGAGTACTGGGGTAGACCACTCTACCCCAAGTCCTGTCCTGAGCTGCCCTGGAGCCCAGAACTGGCCATTCCTCATCTGGTCCTGAACTCAGAGAGGGGTGATGCTGGGCTCCCTGTCACCTGTGTCCACCTTTGCAGACATCAATGAGTGCACGTCACTCTCCGAGCCATGCCGTCCCGGCTTCAGCTGCATCAACACAGTGGGCTCCTACACGTGCCAGAGGAACCCGCTGGCCTGCAGACGCGGATACCATGCTAATGACGATGGCTCTGAGTGTGTAGGTAAGGCCATCTCTCTTTGTGCCACCAGCTGAGGCCATGGTAGAGGGAGAGCCCAGGCCTCAGGGTGCCTTGCTTTCCCGTCCCGCAGATGTGAATGAGTGTGAGACAGGTGTTCACCGCTGCGGAGAGGGCCAGGTGTGTCACAACCTCCCTGGCTCCTACCGCTGTGACTGCAAGGCTGGCTTCCAGAGGGATGCCTTTGGCCGGTCCTGCATTGGTAGGTGGTGCTGGGGGCTGGGATTCCCTTTGAGCGTGGGGCCTGCCCCTCTGTGTCCCTCCACCTTTCTGCCTCTGGCTGCCCCATTTCCCAGTGGAGCAGTGCCCCCTGCCTGGGTCTCTCCTGGAGGTCAGCCTACAATATGTCCTTCTTCCTCCTGGCTCCAACCTTGCACTCGGACTCTCCCTGCTGTCTTGTCCCACTGTCTCTGTTCTCTGCCTCTCTCAGCCTCTGTCCCTGTCACCTTCTTGCCTCTTGCTGTGGCTGTCTGCCTCTCTGTCCCCTGTCCCTACCTCTTGCCTTCCTCCAGTACTCTCATGCCTGCTGCCATCCGGTCTCTTTATCTCCCCCTTCCCCTGTCTGGGTCTCTCCCACCCAACCCCACCTCTGCACTGGTGGTACCTAGGGTTGGGGGGAGGGAGCCAGCTTTGTGGCCACCTCCCTGTGCCTACTGTCCCGCCTTCCCCGACAGACGTGAACGAGTGCTGGGCCTCGCCAGGCCGCCTGTGCCAGCACACGTGTGAGAACACGCTGGGCTCCTACCGCTGCTCCTGCGCTGCTGGCTTCCTGCTGGCCGCCGATGGCAAGCATTGTGAAGGTACCGCCGGCCTTGGCCTCTGCCTCCATGTGCCTGCCTCCCCTTGTGCAGAGGCTGGGAGACATGGCTTTCTGCCACAGTTGCAGGGAGCTGGGTGCAAGCAGGAAAAGGAGGCAGGTGATGCTCCTGCCTGAGACTGGGCATGGGCAACCCTGAGGACACAGGACATGAAGGGGCAGTGGCCACACGGCACCCAGTACTTGGGTCCAGGGAAGCCTGATTTTCCTGGCTTTTTAGAAGCTGGAAATCTCAATATTCATGTGAAGTCAGCTGGCTTTTTAACATTGCTGATGATCATAAGCTTTTGAAGAACACACTGGGTTAATCCCAGCACGCACACAGGCTGCACCCACATTCTACATGGCATACCTGTGCCTAAGGGGTGCATCACACTGCTCCCAGTTGGGCCCCTGGAATGGTTGGGCCAGGTCTGGTGGGGATTGGAGTAAGGGAGGCCATGAGGCTGCTCAGTGAGGGGCGAGGGCCTAAACCAAGGGATATGGGGTCCATGGTCCCCCTGCCTGGCTCTCCATCTGGAAGGTGTGCTTCCTCACTTCCCACCGCTTGGGATGACTGTGCTGAAACTCCTTTGGGGCTGGGTACTCCTTCCCAGTCACCTGGCCTGGCAGAGGAGCTGGCCTTCCTGTGGGTCATGGCCCATCCAAGGGCAGGGGCACATGACCAGGCCTGGCAATGGCAGAATATGTAGATAAGAGACCCTCTCTCTAATTCACTCACTTCTTCATCTGTTTATCGGTGCCATACACACCTGTGTCACCTCCTTATGCCATGCTGGGTGAGGATTGCTGTGGAGAGGGGTCTCTGCCTTCCAGGCATGTCACGTAGTCAGTCAGTCACCTGTTAGAGCTCAGGCTGGCTATATGTTAGATGCAAAGCTGAGCAGAGCAGATGAGCTGTGCATTCGTGTGTACATTGCATCATCTTTGTGAGCGAACACCGTGGAAGTTGCCAGGTCCTGAGGATTTTAACATGGGTTATATGGTGACCTCAGAGGACCACCTAAGAAAGCCTGCAGGCAGCTCAACCCAGTAAATGGCTGTTCCACTGAATCTAGCAGTCATTTCTCCCAGGATGCACTGCACACTAGTTCCTCATATTCAGTCACGCACACACACCTGTTTGTTCATCACAGCCTCACACATGCTTCATCATCCATCACCTGTATACAACTCTCACCCTCACACCTCATTCCTCACACCCTCTCACATCCACCTGCTTGTCCCTCCCATCCCTCACACATACCAACTCTTGCACCCCTCCTCACTACCCCCAGGCATGCCAACCCCAGGTACCAGGGCAAGCAGGTAAGGCCCCAGCCTTGGAGAAGGCCTACATTAGCACCAAGGTGACATACCTGCAAGATACATCTGTCCCTTGTGTTGTATGCTCCAGTATGGCAGTGTCAAGCTCCCCTTGGGGATTCTGAGTGCCTGTGGCCACCTCTGTTAGCACCCCTCCCTGCCCTGCCTCTGTCACCTGCCCCTTGCCAACCCCTGCTCTTGCCTGGGCGAGAGCCACTAATTCTCTGTTGGCTGCAAAGGACACTGGAACGAATGATCTCTGGAGACAGGGCTCCAGTGAACTGGGGCCCAGCCCTTATCTCTGGGCTAGGAGGACCAACCATGACCAGTAGCCGGTGTCCCCACAGATGTGAACGAGTGTGAGGCCCGGCGCTGCAGCCAGGAATGCGCCAACATCTATGGCTCCTACCAGTGCTACTGCCGCCAGGGCTACCAACTGGCGGAGGACGGGCACACCTGCAAAGGTGGGTGCTATCCCCTGGTAGGAGCCTCCTCCACGTGCCAGACTCCCTAGAGCACCAAGGGGTGGACGGGTGGAGACACATAGGCTTTAGCATCAGATCTGAGTTCAGTTCCCAGCCCTGCAGTTTCCTGCTCTGTGACCTTGGGGTGATTCCCTCTCCACTTTGCATCAGGATCTCTTCTGTAAGGCGAGACGCTGGTCCTGACCTCCTCAGTGGGTGGAGGGACAAGTGTCTAAGAGCGCCAAGTAAGAAGGCCTGGGTCTGTGACTGGTGCCCCTTGGCCCCAGCAGGTAGCAGTGATTATCAGTGGCCCGAAGCCTGAGAAGTGAGTGCTCATGTGTGAGTCCCGATATGCTGTGTGGCCTTGGCAGTGCTTCTGTTTTCAGAGCTCTCTTGTCCTCCCTTGTAAAATGAGCCCCTGGGCTCCATGGCTGTGACAGGAATAGGCCATTGGTGGCAGGGCCTATGAGTGGGCAAGGCTCACCCAGCTGACCCTTTCTCTGGCAGACATAGATGAGTGCGCTCAGGGTGCCAGCATCCTCTGCACCTTCCGCTGTGTCAACGTGCCGGGGAGCTACCAGTGTGCCTGCCCAGAACAAGGCTACACCATGATGGCCAACGGCAGGTCCTGCAAGGGTGAGCAACACTGTGCAAGCAAGCACAGCACACTGCATGTAAACGTCGACACTGAGGGCATAAGCACAGAATGGCTGTGCCACCGGGGGCCACAGCAACCAAGTTCTTGCTTAGGAAGAGGACAGTGATAGTCTTTCTGCTTCTTAGCCCAGTGTGGACTCAGTTGAGGACTCTGTGCTGGGAGCAGGCAGGGATACCATGGGGAGGCATAAGGAGGCAGGGGGACTATCCAGTGAGGGTACTGGAGAAGAGCAGTTTCAGGGGTCCTGGTCACTGCCCCAAGTCTGCAGTACTATCCAGAGCAGGCTAGGACAGGAAGGTGTGTGCACCAGCGGCGGGGTAGGACCCTGGGAGGAGAGAAGCAGGTCCCTGGGAGGTTCTGCCACCCTAGCACAGAATGACTATCTCCAGTGACAGTGGTGCAGGGGAGGAAAGGACTGTTTGGGAAGGGGCTTCCGTCACTGGGGACGTGCAAGTCCTGGCTGCACAGTCACCAGTCAGATTTGCAGTAGAGGTGACTGTGTGCCTTATGATGGTCCCAGGTTCTGTGACAATGAATATTCCTTCTAAGCTAGAGAGTAATTCTAAGTTCAGTGCCATTGTTCACCAAATTCTGGGTCTGGTGGAGAGCAGGACTCAGGAGGACCCCAGCTTCCCCGCTTGGGATGCCCTCAGCCTGTTGGTATTAGTGCAGACACCTTCCAGCTTCAGGGGTCATATCCTTCAAGACACTGGAGCCTTTGGGATGTGGCCAGGGCATCGGCCTAGCCTTGAACATCTTCCAGATCCAAAAATAGCAGGTCTTGGAGGACCAGGGGTTGGAGTTAGCACGCACAAGGGTGTGGAGTCAAGTCAGTGTGCTGCAGGCTCCCACTTGTGGCCTGTAAATGGACCCTGAGATCAGGTTAGTGGGTCTCTACACACACTTACGAATGCAGGATGGGGCAGGGCCGAGGGCAGTGTGCATGTGACTGTTGTTAGGTCCAGTCCTTAGGTGTGTACTCAATGCAAAAGGATTCCTTACTGTAGATGAATATATATATATATATATACATATATATATATATACATATATATATGAAAGAGAGAGAGGACAGGAGGGGAGGGGAGGGAAAGAAAGAAAGAAGAAAAAAGAAAGGAGTAAAGTAAGTCAGAAGACCGTGAGCTTGGCCATATCAGTGAGCAAATTGGAGTCGTGCTGGCTCACTGGAGCTGGCCCAGGGCTCTGTGGTGCAAAGTCCTCTGCTCTTTATTTATGGACTCTTACAAGGTAAGGAGTTCACCTTCCATGAGCTCAGCTGGACAGAAAACATGACTATTTCTAGAACGTGATCACACAGGTGACACCAAGGCTGTTGGGCCCAATGGCACAGTGTGGCCCCTTCTGACATAGCTCCATCTCACACAGCATCAGCATTGGCTGTGCAGATCGTAAACTTGTCCACCTTCAAGACTGTCTTTCCCTCGCCCCTCCTTTCCTGGCCCATACCAAGCACTGGAGTCTGAGAGAGACCTGGACACTTGGGCCTGCGTGTGTACCTGTGCTGGCCACAGGGAGGTCTCTCTAAGGCTCAGTTTATGCTTGCTCTGTGCTGGCCTTGGTTGTCCCTGGCCCCCAGCACTGGTTACTCTGGTCTTGTCTGCTTCCCAGGTCACTCCAGGTACCCGTGTCAGGGGCTGCTGACTTTTGGAGCTAAGCAGTTATCCCCATTACACACTGTGGTCCTGTTCTGACTTAGGCCAGACACTGAGTTCTCAGATCAAATGGGAGGATGGGAGGCTGACCATGGGGCAAGAATATGCTGTGAGATCTCCCGTAGCCCGTGCCGTCTTCAAGAATCAAAAAGGACAGAAAAGTAGAGAGACATGTAAACCGTGCCATCTGGTCGAGAATATGCGTTCCGTTGAGGTGGGGCCACATCTGCCTTACTTGACACCTAGACGATACCTAGTACTGAGGATCTGACCATGTGACCACACAGGCAGCTACTGCTAATATTTGCATGTGCTGTTTGTTTTCTTTCCTTCTGACACACACACACACACACACACACACACACACACACACACACAGCCCTTTTATCCTTAGGTTCTATATCTGTGGGTTCAACCATGTGCGGATTGAAAATATTCCAGAATACAAGAATTGTAACTGTACTGAACACAGACAGACTTTTTTCTTGTCACTATTCCCTGGACAATATAGTGGAGTAACAGTTTCCTTAGCGTTGACCTTGTATTAGGTCTTGTAACTCATCTAGAGATGATTTGAAGTACACAGATGTGCAAATACCACCCCATTCTCCACAAGGGGCTAAGCATCCTTGGAGTTTTGTCCTTCAGTGGTCCTGGAACCAGTCCCTCGCAGGTATGGAGGAATGGCTGAAGATAGTCCTGAGTTTTGCCTGTTTCTTCTCAGACACTTGTTTAGCTCAGAATGGCATTCTTAACCTTAGCACTGCTCTTGTCACCACTGAGCTGCTGGACACCCAAGTGTCCTCAGGTCCTGTAGAAGCCCACCAAGGCCTCCCATCTGGGAGCTACATTCTGCAGCACTCCCCTGCCCCACCTCTGCACATGCTGGTGTGGCTGATGCAAGTCCGACAAGGCTGCAGTGACACCTGGGCACAAGGCCATGTTCTGCTGTCCCTAGCCTGAGCTCTGCAGAAGAGTCACAGGGTCAAGGGCCTGTGGTCACAGGCATCTGGCAGCACCAGTGGATGAAGCTCCAGGGTGGCAGAGAAGTCCTGTGACAACTTCCTGTGAGTCTGGTGAGTCAGACTGCAGCCGCTGACTGCGCCTGGCTCTTCCCACCACTTGTGGGCATCGCCATGCATGCTGGCCTGGGCAGAAGCAAGATGAAGGCGCCTGCCTCTTGCTATCCCACTCACCCAGCGCACAGGCTGACGAACAGAGGAGGTCTCCCGTTCCTGTGGATTCAATTCGTCAGCAGTACAGTGACCATGTTTAACCTGGGCATCTACCCTGCCCTGGGCCCATTTCCCCATTTGCATTTGAGATGCCTTGGGGAACTGGGATCATGATCCATGCTACAGAGTTGAAAGTGAGGCCTGGAGAGGTGAGCGCAAGGGAGCTGAACCCGCACAAGAGGCTGGAGGGCGGGGGCAAGGGTTGCTTTGGCCCTGCTACAGCTGTGTGGGGACTGGAGTGCATCTGTAGACTGAGGGGGCACCAGCCCCTGCCTCCTGGGCGTGAGTGCAGAGTGCCTCGGGCATCACCAGTCAGTCAGGAGGTCAGCTCTGCATGCAGAGAGTGATTATTATTATTATTATTATTATTATTATTGTTAGCAGTCAGATTTTGACATCAAAGCAGATCTGGCTTCCAACCCCAGCTGCCCTGCTGACTGCTGTGTGACCTTGAACAATACTGCCTGTCTCTGAGTCTTTGTTTCCTCCTAAGTGAGAGGCCAGCAGCCTCTCAGGGCTGGTGAGAGGACTAAGCGAGGAGAAATCCTGCATGGCGTCAGCCGAGAGTAGTCAGGGAGGCTGTCCTGGAGGAGATGATCTGAGACCAAGGGAAGCCCAGGCTGCCACCAGCTGGGGATGGCCTAGGTCTTCCTGACGCTGCCCTTGCTGGCTGAGCAGCTGCCGTGCACCAGGGCTCTCTAGAGCCCTTCGGTCTGATTGTCACCCTGTGGGCTGTTTGTGGATTGCACATACACGTACACACTTCTCCAAGCTCTTTCTGGAGAGCTCTATCCATATGTCTGTCCACGTATGTGTGTGTGTTTCAGACTCCTGAACGGGCCCTTGTGTGTACACCTGACCGTATGCTTGAGCCTAAGTGTGTGCTTGGCCCGTGTGCCTGCTGGCATTTATACATGCGTGTCTGCTTCTGCGAGAGCGCAGGAGACATGAGCACGGCTGGGGAGTGCACTGGCAGCCATGCACCCTCAAGTCTGTATTTCTAAGTTATGGTCCTGTACTTCCATTCAGTGGTGCATGCTGAGCCCCTGCTCTGTGCAGATGTCCATTCTGCTGGGTGAGGTGATAACAGATACAGCACCCCTATCCTCCTGGGGGGTGGGGAGCAGATTGTGGAAAAAGAACAGCCATACAGAAGAGCCTTGGTGTGTTTTCAGTGTGATGAGCAGTTGAGGATGGTTAAAAAAAAAAAAAAAAGAGGATGGGATGGAGGGCAGTGGGTAAGCAGGACCACAGTAAGGTTACTGGTTGCAGAGCTGGTGAGATGGAGCACATATGGCACAGGGTGACATGTGAGCTGTGTTGTCAGAGTTAGGAGCAACAGCCCTGAGGCCCAGGCCTCCAGCATGGCTGCAGTGGTTCAGGCTGGGACCTTTCTGAGCATCCCTCCTCTCTTCCCCCCAGACCTGGACGAGTGTGCTCTGGGCACTCACAACTGCTCCGAGGCTGAGACCTGCCACAACATCCAGGGCAGCTTCCGCTGCCTGCGCTTCGAGTGTCCTCCAAACTATGTCCGGGTCTCCGAAACGTGAGTGACCCTGTGACCCCGCACTACTCCCTTGCTGCCCAGGCCAAGTGACAGGTGGCCCCTGCCTTGAACACCTCCTGCTCTGCATAGCCCTTGACTGCCGGCTTTCACTGACCAACAGCAAATAGAAGCACCTTGCAGACAGTACAGACGATGCAGAGAAGACTCTGAAAATCAATCTCTCTCCCTCTCTCTCTCTCTCTCTCTCTCTCTCTCTCTCTCACACACACACACACACAGATAACATATTAGTATTTCTTTACTGCTGTGTAGTAAGTTCTTCTAACACTTAGCCCCTTATACAGCAAATGCTTACTGTCACACAGTTGCTGAGGCCGGCAGCCTGGGAGCAGTGCCACTCTGTCTCCCGAGGCTACATCAAGCTCCTGCCCCATCATGCAGCCACCCAGTCACAATACTCAGGGTGGGAGACCTCAGCTCCACGCCATGTGGGCCTCTCCACGGTACCACTGGTGATGTGACAGCCCCAGTGCAGGTCACAGGAGTACAAGTGATAGTCCCTCAACCTAGGTTAATCTTGGAGTCACTTCTGCCACTGGTCGCACAGCCCCCCACTTTGACAGGGACCCTGAGAGAAGTTCCAGCAAGGGGTGGCTGCCAGCAGGCAGGACCTAGGGTGTGTGGGAAGGAGGGAAGAAGGAAGAAATGAATATGAATGTTTTAAGAGGTGCTAACAAACCCAACTAGGTACTGTGCTGAGCGCCCATCCTCCCAATTAAACCCTGAGGTGGCTCTTAACCCATCTCACAGATGGGGAAACTGAGGCCTGGGAGAGCTGGCATTTGAGCCTAGGTCTGCTGGCCCTGGGGTCTGTGTAGCATCGGGGACGGGAGGAGCAGGGAGCCGCCCACAGACCCCGCACCTGTCCCCGTCTCCCACAGGAAGTGCGAGCGCACCACGTGCCAGGACATCGCGGAGTGCCAGACCTCGCCCGCACGCATCACGCACTACCAGCTCAACTTCCAGACGGGCCTCCTGGTGCCCGCGCACATCTTCCGCATCGGCCCCGCGCCCGCCTTTGCCGGGGACACCATCTCCCTGACGATCACCAAGGGCAACGAGGAGGGCTACTTCGGCACGCGCCACCTGAACGCCTACACGGGCGTGGTGTCCCTGCAGCGGCCCGTGCTGGAGCCCCGGGACTTCGCCCTGGACGTGGAGATGAAGCTGTGGCGCCAGGGCTCCGTCACCACCTTCCTGGCCAAGATGTACATCTTCTTCACCGCCTTCGCCCCGTGAAGGCGCCCTGCCCGGCCAGCGGCCCCCTCCCCGGGGTGCCCGGTGCCCACGGGGTGTGGCGTTTGTACAGCTCTAACTTAAATTGTGCCAACTCGGTTGCTGTTGGGTTCGAGCCCTCTTTGCCCCCCAGGAGGGAGGGTTTAGTGGGAAGCTGTTCCCACGTGGGCACTGCGCTGCCCTGGCGGTGAACGGCCAGAGGCCGGATGGTGATGCCCTGAAGACCAGAAACAGCGACCACGTTGGGACTTCTGGATTCGACTGGATGACCCCTCCCTGAAGCTGACATTCCATCCCCGTTCCACTATGATTCGTTCTTCAATTAAAAAAAAATCATTTTTAAAGTTTTTTGTTTAATTATAAGAGTAGCAATGTACATTGTTAAGAGCAAAGCAGATCAAATAGCACAGAAGGATTATAAAGTTTAAAAAAAAAAAAAAAGAAAGAAAATGCCTCTTGGTCCCCTTCCTTTTGTAAAGTGTTGGCCTTTGGCAATAATACCTGAATGTCACAGGGTCCCCCGGCCTGGCCATGGACCAGTTTGTTGATCAAGTCCTTCCTTGACATCTCATTCAAATAACTAGCCCTCAAGCCAGGGGGTCACCTTAGGGATGAAAGAATCGCAGTGTCACTTGACGCTAACTCGAGATCGTTTCTTCTATTTTTACCCTCCGTGTCTGTTTCCCCTCCCATTTATTTATTTATGTTGCATTTGGATTTTAACTCAGGGCTTTGTACTTGCAAAGTCGGGACTCCACCCCTTGAGCCATACCTCCAATCCATTTTATTCTAGTTATTTTTAGAGATGGGGGTCTTGCAAACTATTTGCCTGGGCTGACCTCAAGCCACGATCCTGCTGACCTCAGCCTCCCATGTAGCTAGGATTATAAGTGTGAGCCACTTGTTCCCAGCTCCTTTTCTCCTTTTTGTGTCCTCTTTCTCCTGCCTCCTCCCCCAGATGTGGACTTCAGCTGCTGGTTTGTCACTTTGAATTTCATCTATAACTCCAGGCCTCGTCCCTGAAGCTGAAGCCTAAAGATGGCAAGTCGGGTGGACATGGGCAGGACCCAGAAGGAAGCAAGCAGTTTTAGGGTTCAGTGTTGCTCTCTGGTTCTTTTAGACTGGATCAAGGGAAGACACTGTGAGAATCTGGAGAACTGAGGCCCAGAGCAGAGAGGAGGTACCTAAGGTCCAGGGTGAGTCTGGGGACCCTGTGACCTCACATCTGCCCTTGGCATCCTGCACACAGGGGATTTCTTTCTGCAATCAGTCTGTGACTCAGGGATCTCAAGTTAAATGAGGTGGGTGGAAGCCAGTGTGTGAGAATTGACTGGAACAGGGTAGGTGATAGCTGAGTGCTTCATGTGTGGTAAAGACAGCATGATTACACCAAATGGTGCCTGTGTCTGTGTGTGTACAAGTACATGTGGGCCTGCCAGCTCTGCTTTGTGGTATAAAATATGTTTTGTACTGTGATGGGCAAAAGTGGAGAGAAGTGGCCTGTTGGAGACTGTAGTCATGTGGACCTCCATGGCTGGATGTTCTTCAAGACAAGTTCCCAAACTATATTTTGAAGTAACATATCCCTATTTTAAGATATGGTGATTAAGCCAACATGGTGGCTCAAGTTTATAATCCCAGCTCAGGAGGATTGTGGTTCAAAGCCAGCCTGGGAAAAAAGTTCATGAGACCCCATCTTGACCGACAAAAGCTGGGTGTGGTGGCACACACCTGTCATCCCATCTACGCTTAAAGCACAAATCCATGATCACAGTCCAGTCCAGCCTGGGCATAAACTTGTGACCCTATCTCAAAAATAACCAAAGCAAAAAGGACTGATGAAATGGCTCAAGTGGTAGAATGCCTGCCTAGCAAGCGTGAGGCCCTGAGTTCAAATTGCAGTACCTCCAAAAAATAAAAAGGCAAGATGATTTATTAAAACTCTTAAGAACAAGCATGGGCCAAGCAAAGCCTGCGACCCCAGCACTGTACCCTCCTGTGGTGGCATTTTCTCCCCTTGCTGCTGCTTGCCCCCAAGGGTGTATGGCAGAAGACAGGATTCCCTTGCCACTGGCCCTGTCTCTCTCTTCCTTCTCTTTCGCTGGCCTTCAGGGACACCAGAGCTCGAAGCTTTTGTTGAGGGTAATCACCGCCTGGCGGGAAGCAGCGGGCAGTGGTCTTCTCTGTTCTGGCAGGGGCTCTTCTCATGGGCACGGACGTGTCCTTTAATGCACTCCTGGAATTCTCAGAGTGCTCTCCACTGGGCTGCGTGTGCTCCATATGGGTGGCCTTTCAACAGGCCAGGTTTCCTTTGCATTTCTGCCTGTAGTCAGCCAGGCCATTGCCACCACCCACACGTCACTACCCATGCAAACGCAGGGGCAAGCAGTCCTTCAGCCGGGGGGTGGCCACCAAGTAGCATGCTGGCTACACACCTTGGAACTGCCAGCCACCAGCCAAGCAGCTCTTTAGAGCACCACCCTAGTGACCTTAGGATCTGGCTCCCAGGTGGAAGCACTTCTGGGCGGTGCCCTCTGTTGGTGTTTCTCTGGCACTGCTCAAAACCTTATGTGTGTTTCAGGCTCCAGGATTATTTTATGGCCTTCAGTAATTAGGGTGAGTCCAGTAATTTCACTCAAATGGAAATTTTCTGATCCCAAGTCCCAGCGGTCACCCCTGGGTGACATTAACAGGCTTTTGCCCTAAACCCCAGTCTGTCTTAGGACTCCAGGGATGCTTTGGAGCAGTTTTGTGCCTAGCAGCCAGGAATAGTCCTAGACATTGACTGTGCACCTTCAAAATGTAAGTGAGCTGGTAATGGCGGTCTGCGGTGAATCTTGCCTCAAGGGCAGACCTAGCCGCCACAGTCACAGGTGGAGGCACTCCTCAGCCAGACATGGCTCCAGCCCCAAGTACATCCAAGTCAGGGAGAGCTCCAAGCACTCCAGTTTCCATTGCAAAGCTGCATCCCATCAGCCATTGCGTCTCTACCCTCCCAGCCTCATGTAGCCCCTTAGGACTTCACCGATGCACTCTGGAACCCCAGAGCACTGACTCCAGTACAAGGAAGGCCCCACCTGCTCAGCTAACCACAAGCCGCTTTTCTGCAGCTCCGTTACACAGGTGTGGTCATTACACCATTGGCCATCGGTGGGGCTGAAAGTCGCAACACTGCAGTCGGGCCTTTGACCACCCTGTCCGCGAGCTCCCTGGGGAGCATGTGAAATGATACTGATTGTGTGGAGGATCCAAGGATTTTAGGAGTTGTATGACAGGAAATGAAGATGAAGATCGAGTATGCGCAGCGTGGCATCACAGACCCAACCCCAGGGACTGTGTTACAATTGGTTGTGGCTCCTCTGGGCCGTGACATTTTCTCCGTTGGGGGCATCACAGGAAGCCCGCTATTGGGCTTTGTTTCTGGGGAGGAGGGCCACAGAAGGAAGGTGCCCTTCCCCTTGCACCACGGCGGGGGGGGCGGTTTCACGCCATCAAATACCCTGACCACTTGGCTGAGGTAACGTAAGGTTTCCGCCTTCCCTACCACAGCCCATCGGGCACACATTTTTGGTTGCTCGGACAGGATTGTGGGATCAATGTTGTTGGGTTTCTGAATAGTTTGACATTTGTGATACCATCGGTGAAGAGTCCTGTGAAGAGCATCCCTACGCTATACCTGATGACGCCCCTCAGGCTGTCCCCAGGTGCCCTCCCCACAAGCAGGGAATGGGACTGCACGGTGCACAGGTCCAGGGGCACACCTTGTCCTGACTCCCTACATCAGGCTGCCCTCCAGAAAGGTGGCACACCCCCACTCCTGGCTTACTTCCCCAAAAGTGCCAGGCTGAGGCGTTCCCAGAGCTGGCTTGCTGTTGGCCTGTGACAAGTTGGATGCACATTGGGCATCTGTTGCTGTGCTGTGCCATAAACCAGAGCCCATCCTGTGGGCTAAGGGCCCAGCTGGCCCACAGCTTGGTAGGTATGCCATTTAGAGATATTTTAGAATTTCTCACACATAAACAGTCAGAATTTCTGGAAACCCCCAGCTTACTCTTTCTCATGGTTTCCTGAGTAAACCTTTAAATCTTTAAAGTTTTTGATTTGGTGGCCCATGTGGCCCTTTAACACCAGGTGGCTTCTGCAAAATGGTCTGGGACCATTGCAAAACTCTTCACCCCCTCAGGTAGAGCTGTCCTGAGGTAAGCCAGGCAGCCCACTGGAGGCTGTGAGTGCCCCATTGCAGGTACGTCAGCTGCTCCAGGAGGCCCAGAGGATGGGATGGGCCCTTGGAGTTGCATCTGGTCCACATACCCTGATTTTGTGGCATGGTTTCCCTGGGTAGCGGTGGAGGGGCTCCTTCCAGTAGCCCAAGTTGTGGCTCATCTGCGGGACAGTGGCGCCCCCTTGTGGCTGAAGCTCAGCCTGGCAGCTCTGCTACTGACTGGGAGAGGGTGGATTTGGACAGGAGAGCTGGAGAAAGGTGATTCAGATGTCACAGAAAGCTGTGAGGCCTCACACGTGGCCCTATGTGGCTAGGGAAGGGCGTAATGGGAGCAGAGGGCAGAGGTCTGTGGGGACAGCTGAAGCAGGCATTGGATGCCAAGAGAGGCACTGTCTTCCAGGGGACCTGGCTTCTTGTCTTTGGAGGAGTGGCCAACCCTTCCTTGAAGGGTTTTGTCCCTGGGATCAACTAATGGGATCCGCAAGACTCTTCCTGGAAACCAGATTTACTGGCTGGCCTGGCCAGCCTGCTCCACCATGATGGGACTACCACTGAGGTCCGGGGACTTTCATGGTGGAACTGGGGATGGGGTGGGGTGATGTGTATGGGCCAGAGAAGTCACTTTATGGGCCCCCCAAGGGCTGCCTGCAGTGCTTGCTGTGTGTCAGGCTCTGTGATGGGGGCTTGGGACTGCTAAGATCTCATTTCACCCCAACACAACCTACCGGAAGGGAATTGTCCCAGTTTTAGTGGGGTTTAGGCTCAGAGAGTGTGGGACGTGCCTAAGATCACAGAGATTGGACTCTGGGAAGGACTGCAAAAGGTCATGGCTCAGGAGAATGAGAAGAAAAGCCACAGGCTGGAAGAGCACATTTGCAAGAGACCTCACTGGTAAAGGACTTGTAGTCCAAAATATAGGAAGGACGCAAAGCCCAACAATAAGGAAATGAACGCCCCAATTAAAATATGGACAAAAAAAGCCTAAGAGACACCTCACCAGAAGGCAAACACATGAAAAGGTGTTCACCAAGTGTGTCATTAGGAAACTGCCACTTCAAACAACACGACATACCACAGTAGGTCCTCTTAGCTGAGGTTTCACTCTCTGCGGTTTCAGTTACCTGTGGTCAACTGTGGTCCAAAAATATTAAATGGAAGTTGAGTGTGGTGGTTCAGACCT